TATTTATAAAATTTCTTTAGGAAACAGTATGGCAGTAACAAAAGCTTCTAAGAACTCGTTTACCCTCTCCACTAGCAAGTCCACTTCAATGTATTCATCTCAAGGAAATAATTAGGACAACAGAAAATATTTATCAACACAATGCACTTTAAAGCAGTTTATTAGTTAAAAATTGGAAACCTAAAAATGGAACAGCTTAATAAAATGTGGCACACACGATGCAGTATCATGTAGTCATCATTTAAAAAAAGTAAAATATATTTGACACAGCAAGATAAACATGAAATTGTTGAGTGAAAAAGTTACAAAACAGTATATACAATTTGATGAAACTAAACAAAAATTATATATGCACAGAAGAGAGTCTGGAAAGCATGACATCTAATAGCAGTTCTCTCTGGGTGGCAGGATTTTAGGTGATTTTAATGTTTCCTAATGGTATTTTGACTTCTTTTTTACTAACATGTCTATAAAAAAGCATTAACAGTGTTTAAAAGTCTCCTTTGAAGTAGTAAAGAACAGAATCTAACAACAGAAGAAGCACAGAGAGGTACTTACTAACCTGATGCTAATTCAGGATTTTCCAGGTTGCTTTGATGGGAAATTGTCGCCAATTAAAAGGCACTGTATTGAATGGAAATTTGGGTGATGACACTGCTTACCTTTCTTCAGTTTAAGGGATTAATAGCAATCCAGTACTGGCGTTCTTAGCAATATTTCCTTTCCTAAGTACATCAGCATTCCCTCATACTCATTCCTAATAAAGTCAAGCAAGGTCCTTCTACACTTCAGTGGAGTATTTTTGGTGAATGTCACAAAAGGCAGAAAGAATTTTTCAAGTTATTTCAGAAAACAAGCCTGAGGTGGAAAGGCGGGTTTCCACTCAACGTGCTCCTGTGGAGGTTTTCAGACTTTAGAGTGCATAGAATCTCCTAGAAAACTTGTTAAAGTCAAGTGAAGCACTACAGAAAACACTTCTAATGTTTGATAGATTTCATTTTTCTTTCATTCAGAAAATACTGAGTACATAATATGTATCTTGTGTTAAGAGATGGAAATGAAATTGTGATTGAGAACCATAGTTCCTACTTAAGGGAAACGCCATTTTAGAGTGGTAGATAAATTTTAAATAAATTATAAAAATACTTATATAATTACAATCATGATTAGTGGCAGGGCACAGTAAAGATGGAACGACATAGTTGTTTTGTCTTAAAACAGTAAAAATCTCATCATGGAAGAACTAGGTCTTTAGGCCCAGGGTTTCTTACCAGTTCATTTTGATGCAACTCTCTTGCATCTCATCTGAGATATACTCAATCAGTGCACATTCTAAACAGATTACTAGTTATGTACTATCAAGTCAGAACTACTCAGCTGCCCCTCCAGTGGGTTTTCCAAGGTAATTAATTGCAGAGGGAAGGGACTGCCCATCTTTTTCTGGTGAAACAGCTAGTGGATTATAAACACGTTCCTTTAGGTTGGCAGCACAATCCCTTATAAAAGCCCCCAGAAAACCCTAACAGTCTCCCTAGACAACTATTATATATACTAGGATCCATAGAAGTCAGCTGGAGATCTTGCTCAAATGTAGATTTTGATTCAGTATGACCAGGTGGAAAAGTAAATTATAAACTGGGCATGCAAATGAGATGAACCAGTTCAAAGGCCTGGCAAGGGCCATGAAGACAAAAACAGCACAGATAAGGTCTTGAGGAGGAGGAATTAGCATTTCTGATCAAGTTCCTGGTGATGCTGATACTGGTAGTCTGGAGAGCACACTCTGAGAACCACTGTTCTGTCTTTCTAATTAGGATGTGCAGAAGAGGGCACAGGGAGTGGGGAACTATTGTACTCATCTCCTTAGTCTCACTCACAATGAACAGCAAACCAATTAATCATGTAGAGAAGTTGCCATGACAAAGATGGCATTAGGACAAAATCTGAAGCCATCTATCCATAGTAACTATATAGCCTAGAATACCAAATCCTGGGGCAACATATCACAATTCAGGCATGTGGGAAGTATGGGGCAGAGTTTAAGTAGTTTTGTCAACAAAGAATGAAGGTATGCTGGTCCTCTCGGGGTACAGTCTTAGTCATTGCTTGTGCTGCCTTTCCCACTCCTAATTTTATCTCTCCCAGCACGAGCTCCTCCAGTTTCATCCTGTACCACTGTTTTGGGTAGAGAATAATGGTAGACTATGAGGATGGGCTCTCACACACTGGTGACTTAGCCATAGGTTTCTATTTCCCATATTAGTCAGAGTAAGGCACATTCTCATTTGGGGACCCAATTTCCTGCAATAGGAATTTTTCTATTTAGCACCAGAAAAGATTTAACACCATGACCTTTTAGCTTAAAGGGTCAATAACTACCCCCTCCTTACAAGAGAGCCTATATTTACTTTCACATTTATAATTTCATTCATATGTACCTTCTTTGTAAATTACATTGAGCTCAGAAGGCACCGCACCCAAATAATTCTGAACTACACCATGAATAGGCTTCCCAAGCTTTCTTCTTTCATGTTTAAGAGCTTAATGGCCCTTTACCTGAGTAAAAAGTAATCTTCACTTTAAAAAAAGCCAAAAGAGAACCAAAATGTAAAAAAAACCAAAAAACAACCCCCAAAAACCAAACAACTACTAACCTAGTAAAACATGAAACAATACACAGAAAAACAAACCCAGATTGTGGTGAACCTGTGTCAAGAACTCAACATTACTGAAGGCTTCTGAACTTGCTATTGAGTTACTAAACCAACAGGCTACTTGATGGCAAGCAGGATGAAGAATTCACACTGCTGAGGATAAACCGAGATCTGGGTCTGTTTAGAGAGAGTGGGGAGGATAGGGCTAATAGGAAGGAGCATACAGAAATGACACAAGACTTCTCATACATGGTTTTGGTAGATCAGGAAGCTAAAGGACCAACGAGGAAACTGCTATTTACAGATTATGTCTACCAAGTGCCAAACATTTCTTTAAAAGTACCTAACATACAACATAACACTTATTACATCATCTTCACAGTTCTAATGTAATCTAGAAAATCTTCTCATTTTACATTATGTGATATGAGTTAAGAGTATGTGAGGAAGACTAGATTTGAAGCGATGGCCATTTCTCTACATTCCCTATTTTTTTCTCCCCTTTACCACATAGCCAATTTATAGCTTGTGCTTAAGTTGACCTGACTTTTTAAGTCCTAAGCTATAGAAATTTTAAGGGAACAGGAGAAGAGGGACTTCTTCACTGAATGGATAGCAAACTATCCATCTTGTATTTTGAAGAAGAAAAAAAAAAGCTTCATCTCATAGCATAGAAAACACGAGGTAACACCTATTAGAAGTATAGACTTCAAATTACTAACATGTTTACCAAGCTCTTATTAGACATTATTAACACGAAGATATTTTAAGATGGTACTGAAACATTCACTATTTTTTAAAAATACCAGCAAAAAAATGTATATATATTAACATTCTCCAAGGAAATAAACTACACCTCTGCACTTCATGCTGAATTACACTGAAGTACTTTTAGTTGTCAGCATGTGCTGTATCAAGTGTGATATATCTTGTTTCTTCAGCCTGGCCCATTTCATTGCTCAAACCAGCCCTCATTCCACTAACCTTGAGTCTGATTAGGTGGGACTCTCTATACGCCTCCAAACAGTACTCTGCATTCATTCCATCATAACACTGCTCACACTGTGTAACACCTGCATGTTTCGCTGAATAATCCACTGGTTTTTAAGTTCTGTAGTGGCAAGGACTACGAGCATCTTGTTCAGGGTAGTATCTCCAATGGATCAGCCTTGTGTCTGGTACAGAGATGGCTCTCAAAATATGCTTGTTGAGTGAATCAATGAGAATGGAAGAAAGCCTAACAAGGACATGACATCAATTTGCCAATTCACATCAATTCTCTGGCACCCAAAGTACCAGTTATCATGTCATTATAGTTTTTTCCTGAACATAGAGACTAACCAAAACACCCAAAGTTTAGTGAGAAATTTTTAAAAACTACTCAGGAATTGAGAAAAGTACACATAAGTGTACTCTAAAATGAATGTAGTTATACTTGTTAAGCGCTGTCAAATCAGATCTTATAGCTGACCCTGTATTGGGCTTTCAGAAGCAGTAAGCAACATGGGAAGAGACTGCCCATCTTTCTCCTATGGAGCAGCTGGTGGATTCAAACAGAGTGACCTTGTATTCAAAGAACAGTACTTTAGCCACTAGGCCATCAGAGCTCCCTGTAAGTCTATATATTTTTTAAGAACTTGGAGTTTAAAAAGAACAAATTGTCCATTGTACTTTATGCATTAAATTGGGCCAATTAAACAATTTCAAATAAGTCAACTGAATTCTGTCCCACCTATTTTAAAACATTAATTATAAATAACTAAAGTGTATATAAATATGATAATATTTTCAAGGACTAGTTCTTAATGTTGGGGGGAAAAAACCCCAAATACTCAAACACCACAAAATTTTCAGAACTGTCCCATAATACACCAAAAGCAATCAATTTCTATTAAAAAACAAGTTAAACAAGGTTTAATTGCATTTTTGCATATGGAAACATTCAGAAGAATTATATTCTTCACATAAGAATTTAGATTCTAGAGCTTTTTAAAAAAAGAATAAAATTTGAAAATGAATTTTCATTTAATTCTTTGGCTATTAATTATGCCTAATAAATGAGTCACTGATATCAATTCACAATAAATTTATTTTACACAAAAGAAAAAGCTTGCCAGTAATGAAAAATTCAGTAGAAAACAGTTCTTCTGCTTTAAGTTGGCGCTCAAAAGTAGAGGGTGTGTGTTAGTGAGTCTTCAGTAGAAAGAGAATTTTGTAAAAAAATGTTCTTGGCATGAAGCTCTAACATAAATTTCGTAATGAAATCTCTACCATGCAACTTTACTGGCAGAAAGGCTGGTTTCTGAGGCTGGTATTTTCTTTTTAGTCTCTTACAACATTAACATGGAAGATACTTAAATCTGCTTTATTTAGAGTTATTTGTATATAAATATGGTGTCATGATGGGTAATCTTTCCACTGTCCACCTATTCAATTGAGCAGCTCTAAGTATGTAATTGGCACTTTGCCCTTCTGATTTCCTCTTTCTCCCATGAGCCAGTCTGAATCCATTCCAATGACACTGAATACAGTAATCACCTAAAAAAGAAAATATTTTCTTGTGATTAAGATATAAATACACAAAAAAATCATGAATATTTGTTTCAAATATTAGCTATCGAAAGATTAAACATTAGTTATCAATTTAAAAAACAAAAACACCTTACCACCCAAAACATTTTTAAAAAATTTTACTAGATGCAGTTTTATACTTTTTAACAATCAATAAGTCTGAAATACTTCTGTGATGTTGTAAAATGTTAAAAAATATAATAAAACATTCATTGCCATGGATTTGGAAAGGACTCATAGCTGACACCCTCCAGTGTGTTCCTGAGGCTGTAAATCACACAGAAGGAGATCTCCCATCGTTCTTCCAGAGTTGCTGGTGGACTTAAAAGTGTCAAAGAGGGTCTGTCTTTGGGTGAGCAGCACCACTCCCTACAGACTACACCATCAAAGCTCACTACATTAAAAAATAGTAATTAAAAGTCTCTATAATGTTAATATATCCACTTCAAGTAGATGATAAACTACTTCCAAAACAGTAATGATGAATTTTTCCCGTTACATGTTACAAAGTATGCCAATTCATGATATATTTCTCCTTTTCATACTGACATTACTTACCTCATCTGCCAGAAGTGATAGTTCACTACTATTTGCAGCATCATAATCATAGAGAACCCTGGCCTTTCTGGTGCCAGTGTACTCCTTAAGGTCACTGAGGTTGGAAGGAGATGTGATTACCAGATTGCTTGAAGCCACTGCAGAAGGACCAATCACACTTGTTGAAGCAGGGGGTACGGATGGTACTGAAGACTGATTGTTGTTACAAAGATAATTTGATGGGAAACTGTTGAAAAGAAAATAGTCAATTATCTATTTTCAACCAATTAAAGTTCCTTAATATCAACACCTGGTGGCACTGCTTAACTTTCTACCAATTATTAGTTTGGATAAAAGGCATTAATAATATTTTAATGACAAAACTATCTAACTTCCTTTTCCTCTTGGCCAATTATACTACAGAAAATGAAAGTTTATAAAACATTAGCCTTTGACTTCCCCCACCCCCACCAGCCTTTTAAAAATTATAATGGCTATTTCTTCCCAGAAATTTGCTCCATGACTTCTATTTAAAGAACACTGGTATATTTTAGTACTTTTGCTCCCCTTTATGAACTATGAAAAAATTTTCAATAAAAAATAAATTAGAGAGTATTATGAGTGATGCTTTCTCAAGGTTTTTTTTTTTTGTTAATTATCAAAGTGAAATAGAAGTAGCAATGGGAGAACAAAATAAATTTCAAATTTCACTTTGTCTACTACTCTATGGGGAAAAATTAATTAGAAATAACAAAATCTTTGTTATTACTGTGCTTATAAGACAAAGACAATTCAAAGATGTAAAATTTTCTTTTTTTGAAAGGCCACTCTACCTTCAATAATATGAACTGGAAAGCTATATAAAATGTCTGACTTAGAATCATTCTAATTCAATCTTTTCTAAGGTTGAAGATTTTTGGTCAAGGTGCTTATTTAAGCTTTAATAATTCCATTATAATGTTTGCATCATCATAATCACAGTGTTTTAACCTATAAAACACTTTATTTGGTCTGAAACTCATTGCTTTATCAAGTCAGAACTGACTCATAGGTGACTGTCTAGAGGGTATTCCAAGGCTGTAAACTGCATAGTCGGAGACTGTCTATCTTTTTCCTACAGAGCTGCTGGTCATTTCAAACTACCAGAGAAACACTGTCACTGGGTTAGCAGCACAACTCCCTATGAACTACTGAATAAATTCATTCCTATAGAAAACACATTTCCTTCCTCTTTATGACTACTGTGCTATCTAGAAATTGGTCAGCAATCAGCAAAATTCCTGCTATTAACCTTCCAATCTCCCTACCACCACTTTATGCTGTTTTTAATTTTCCCTTCACCTTGAGACGGATTAAGTGGCTGTTCTATGCTAATTACCACTTCTGGACGCTCCTCTTCCCTAATCAACTCTATACAGTATCTGCATTTCATGTTCTACTGTCCATGGCTTCTAATTGTAATCATTCAGAGATCACTTACTCCTTTTCAGTTCTAGAAGACTTTGGGACACTATATTTGGTGATTTAATATCCACTGAGACGCTTCTAATATTTTTAGCTTCTATGATTCATGACTCTTCTTTTTGTGATTTTGTGGCTTACTTTAGTTCAGTCATCCATTCCCACATTCACATCTAAACAATTTTAAGTATACCATCCTCTGATCATTCATCCATCAGATCATCAAAAGAGAGAGGTAACTATCTTTTTATTAATCATACCAGCAAGCTTACTTCTTTCATATCCACTGTAATAAACATAATCATTCCTTTGCATATGCCCTTATTTCCTCTGCCTCCACACTTCACTGTAATGCATCTGTTAATCCTCAATTGACTGTCATATTGAAGGATGTAATCTTCTATCTTCTGCAGCAAGTGCTTCACGTTCGCTTCACTTTGAGCAAGCAAAATTGTATCATCTGCATACTGCAGGTGGTTGATAATGTTGCCCCAATCCTGATCCCACATTTCTCTTCATACAGTCCAGCTTCTTGAATTGAAATTATGTCATAATTATGTAATTTTATATTACATATTACATTTATATTATATTATAATTATATTTATATAATCCTGATACATACCTTTCCCAATTTTATACCACGCAGTGTTCTTTTGTGGTTGTACATCTGCTTCATGGTTTATCAAGGTTTCACATCCTCTTCAATGTTAGCTATAGTTTGTTATGATCCACAGAGTCAAATGCCATTGTACAGTCAACAAATCACAAATAAACATCTTCGTGGTAGTCTCTGCTTTTTGTCATGATCTATCTGAAATAGCAATGATATCTCCCCTACTACAGACTTTTCTGAATCCAGCTTGAATTTCTAGTAGTTCCCTATTAACTTACTGTTCTGTTTTTCATTAAGCTTCAATAAGATTTTACTTGCATATGATATTAATAATATTATTTGACAAATCCACATTCTGTTGGATGACCCTTTTTGTAATGGGAATACTTTTTGTTCTCTTCCAATCACCTGGCCTTTGGCCAGCCAGGTAACTGTCTTTTAAATGTCCAAAGTTGCATCTGCTTATTAAAACATGTCAACTGGAATTCCATCAATTCCTAGGGCTTTATTTTTTGCCAATGCCTTCAGTGAAGCTTGAATTTCCTTTACTACTTTTGGTGCTTGGACATGTGCTTTTTCCTGAAATGTTTCAGTGTTGACCAATTCTTTTTGGTACTATGTATTCCCTCCAACATCTCTTGATGTTTCCTTCAGCAATATTTTGTCCACATAATCTGTCAGTATTCCAACTTGAAGCTTGAATTTGTTTCTCAGTTCTTTCAGCTTGAGAAATGTTGAGCATGTTCTCCCCTTTTAATATTCTAACTCCAATTCTCTGCACAGTTCATTGAAATACTTTGCTTAGTCTTCTTGAACTATCCTTTGAAATCTCCTGTTCATCTTTTACCTTAACATTTCTTTCCATTGTTTTGGCCTATGTTCTAGTATAAGTTTCAGTCTCTTCTGATAGCATCTGGACTTTTCTTTCTCCTCTGCCTTTGTAATGACCACTTGTTTAATGAATGAATGATGTCCTTGATATCATCTCACAAATCATCTGGTCTTCAGTCATGAGACTTCAATGCACCAAATCTTTTCAAGAGGTGGTTCTGAAATGCAGGTAGGATAGATTCAAGGTCAGATGTTGGTTCTTGTGGACTTGTTTTCATTTTATTCAGCTTCAATTTGAGCTTGCAGATGAGTAATTGATGGTCAATTTCATAGTGAGTCCGTTCCTTTGGCTGCTGATATTGAGCTTCTCCATCAACTCTTTCCACAAATCTAGTAAATTTAATGACTGTCTATAAGGAATGGTCCAAATGTATAGTTGCCATTTATGTTGGTTTTTTTTAAAAGGTATTTGCAATGACTAAATTACTGACTGCACCAAATTCTACCATTTAATCTCCAGATTCATTTTTGTCACCAATTATTATTAATGCATTATGGTTGCATATTTGCTCAATTTTCCTTTGGCGTTTATGATTGGTGGGCATGTCTGAACAATTAACAGACTTTCTTTGCCTATGCATAGGATGCTATTATTTCTAGTCCTGTACTTTGGATAGATGCTGAGATATTTCTCGTGGAAATAAATGCAACATCATTCCTCTTCCTGGTATTGTCATTCTCAGCATAATAGCTCATATGACTGTCTAATTAAAAATAGCCAATGCCAGTCCACCTCAGTTCACATTAGCCTATGACTGTTGATCTTTATGTGTTCCATTTAATTTTTGACAACTTCTAATTTTTGTAGATTCATACTTCATACATTGCATGTTTTAATATTTAATGGATATTTGCAGCGGTTTCTCCTCATTTTAAGACTGCCTTTCAATCTAAGAGGGACTCGTTATCTGGCACAATGTTCTTCTGTTATTTTAGGGTTTTTTCTTAAGGCCTGTTGTTTCAGAAGTGGATGAAAGTCTTGTTTCTTAGTCCATCTCTGTCTTGAAGCTCTACCATAAACTGTCTCCTGTGAGTGATTTGGTATTTGAAGTATTAGTAGTGCACTGTTCAGCATCACAATGACACACAAATCAACCAATTAGAGCAAACTCACATACTCACACATTAGATCACTCATACACTAGAGCAAACAAGCATACTCACACACAAATGCTAAAACAAGCAACATCAGAGCAACATACAAGTTAATGCAGTATATCATAGCAAAACACAAGTCACCCCAGTACAGCAAACTGCCAAGTGCTGTACCCATAACAGCAACCTATAAAACATGTGGCATTCACTTCCATAATAGCTTGCCTCCGAAAACCCTATGAACCTGGAGAGAGGATGAAAGGCACCCAAGCGTCGAGGACTCTCCTTCATAGGGTCGCTATGAGTCGCCTGCGACTCGACGGCACTTATCAACAACAACATACCAATAATATGAAAAACATGCATGCTATGGGAAACAGAAAACAAATTACCTAACCAGGGACAATTTATCTGCCAAACCAAAGCAAAAGATAAGAGTTGGAGTGCCAGTCAAGTCAGAGCTTCTGTGTGTGAGTACTGAAGAATTCCAACATGTGAGGAACTCCTTCTGGTCAGTGTGTGTTAAGGGGTGGGCATCCAGCCTGGAGCAAGTTTCTGTTGGCTGCAGAGAAGCCTAGGCTAGTCAGCCTGGCTAGAGATGTCTTTGCCAAGCCAGGAGATGGGGACTACTAATATACGGCTACACAATTTCTTGATTTTCTGTCTGCTCCCAACGTGGAAACAAATTCCAGGAAGGCACTGATTATTGTTTTCTCTATAATGTATCCTCAAAAAGTATTTTTTAAAAAAAATTTAAAGCAAATTATCTGGATAATTTTTCACTTCTGCACGTGACTATTGCTTTATGTTGTTATGTTGTTGCCGTTAAGTGCTGTTGGGTTGCTTGCAACTCATAGTGACTCTATGTACAAGAACTCTGAACCCTGTCCTATCCTGAGCAAGTCTCACTGATTCTGACACACCTAATCCCACTGCCCCAGTTATTATGTCAATCCATCTCATTTGGGGTCTTCCTCTTCTGCACTGTCCTTCCATGCTTCCAAGCATGATGCCTTTTTCCAAGGACTGGTGCCTTGTGGCCATGTGCCCAAGTATATGAGAAAGAGCTTCAAAATCCTTGCCTCCAATGAGAAACTTGGTTTCATCCTCTCCACGATAGACCTATTTGTTCTCCTGGTGGTCCATGTTCAATATGCTTCTCTAGCACCACAACTCATAGGCACCAAGTCTTCTTTTGTCATTCTTGGTCACTGTCCAGCTCTCTGATTCATAGCATGTAATTGTGAAGACTATGGACTGGATCAGGTGCATCTTAGTCTTTAGACTGATATCATTGCTCCACAGCATTCTGGAGAGGTCCCTAACAGAAGATTTCACCAATGCAATCCGTCTTTTGAATTATACTATCTTTTAAGGGAGCTCTGGTGGTCTAGTGGCAAGAAGCTGTGCTGCAATCCTGAAGGCACACGGTTCGGATCCACCAGATGCTCTGCTGGAGAAGGAGGGGCAATCTCCTCCTGTGTCAGTCAGATCTGATTTGATGGTAAACAACAACAACAGATTTATATTATTTTTAAAATGCAGTAACTTGAAACAAATTTAGGTCTTTTTTTAAATTTTTCTTTTTTTAAATTTAGGTCTTATAATTTCCCTCACTGCTTATCGTGGGTCCTTTGACGTAATATAACTCTTTGACAGCAAAAAGACAAACCACATAGAATAATAGCATTGATTTCACTTTGTTATGTAAATGTGTACCTACCACAGAGTCAGAACTGACCTATAGCTGACCCTCTGGTGGGTTTTCATAGGGAGTAATAGCACAGGAGGAGACAGCCCATCCTTCTCCCGTGGAGCAACAGGGCTTCTAATTGCATGCCTTCGGGACTGCAGCACAGCTTCTTGCCACTAGGCCACCAGAGCTCCCTATCAACTAAGTCTTGCTCACATGGCTGAGTTCCAAACATCTGTATGGTTTTAAAAACTGTTGAGTCCTCTGGGTGACATGGACAATTAAATGCTTGACTGATTAACTGACCAAAAGGTTGGTGATTCAAACTCACCCTAAGCAATCTTAGAAAACAGGTCTAATAATTGACTTCTAAAAGGTTACAGTCTTGAAAACCCTACAGAACAGCTCTATTAGACACATGGGACTATCCTGAGTCAGAAATACTTGATGGCAACTAATAATAATAAAGCGAAATATAAATATCAAAGGTGGAACCTGCAATCTCTTTGCTGTTTATGAAAAGGACATTATTTACCTTCCCAGTTGTTTTTGGAGATCTAACATATACTGGTAACATTGTGCATAGTAAGTCATCTGGGCTTCTACAAAGTCATTCAGACAGCGAAGGTGATGAGCCTGTTAAGGAAAGTTATAGTCAGTTCTTAAAGTGGCAAGTTCAAAAGAGAGGCAACACTGCAATGAGGGAGAATTAACAGTGTCTAATAAACATGGTATTTTTCAATTGCTTCGTATGCATGTAGGACAATAAAAAAGAAAGACCAAAGCAGAACATATGTCACTAAATTGCAGAACATATGTCACTGAATTGTGGTGTTAGAGAAGAATATGGACTATAGCATGGACTGCTAAAAGAACACCAAATCTGCCTTGGAAGAAATGCAGGTATGGTATTCCTATGAAGCAAGGTGGTTAACATACTGTGGGCAGGTTGTCAGGGGGATCAACCCCAGAGAGGGGTATCAGCCTGAAAAAGGAGAGAGTCAGTGGAAGAGCGGGTGACCCTCAATAAGACAGAATGACACAGTAACTACAATAGGCTAAAGCTCAGTAAAGATTATTAAGATGGTACAGGACTGGGCAGGGTTGCATTCTGTTGTATATTCCTACGCCACCAAAAGGCAGTGACTAAGTTTAGAGTTATGAAGTATAAGCAATAATGTAAAAAAAATTATTAATACATCTTAGAAGTGACACTATTGCCTTAATAAATGATTAAGAAGGAATTTTATGGGTTTTCTCCCTCCCCCAAACCCATTATCTTTAGATTAGTAAAGTCTACTAATTATTCCATACCCACTTCCAGTAAGTGAGCACTCACATGTGTACTGCTGATTCCCTCAAGCAGAAGTCGGGTAATCTCTGCTTGGCGATCAAATTCACTCTGAGTTATTCTTAATTCCTGTTCAGACTTAAATTGAAACGCACATTTTAAAATCTTATCAGAGGATTTAGTTCATGTAATAGATAAGTTTAGACAGTTTATATAAAACAAAACAAAAAGCTGTAAAACTCAAGTCTGGAAATTTCTTCATTCTGCTTTATGTCTAAACGGTTCTTTTTTTTTTTTCATGAACACATTCATTGTGTTATGTGCTTCTGAGTCAGAACCAACTCATGGCTGACCCTCTAGTGGGTTTTCAGAGGCGGAAAATCACACAGAAGGAGAATGCCCATCTTTCTCCAATGGAGCAGCTAATGAATTAGCAATGGTGGATTAGAACTATGCACCTTTCGGCTGACAGCACAGCTCGTTACCACTAGGCCACTTATGTCTAAACTACTCCTTGGTTTCTAGGCTTTAGCTTTTCTGTATTTCTCAAAACAAGATAATTTCCTCACTAAGACTTGATTCAATACAACTCATTAATTCAAAAGCTTAATGACATACTGATACAAGTTTTGAAAAATTATACAGCAGTCAAAATATTTTCAAAAATAGCTACTGCTAAATTTAAAACACTTAATATTGAACCTTGAGGTAATTAAAGTTCTATAAATACTACAATTTATATTATAATGAAGTCTAATAGTCTATAATATGAAAAAGACTCTTCAATTATTACTATAGATTTTTACTTTGAAGTTAAAACTAGTCTTCAATTTCAAATGAAAAATATTTTATAAAATGAAGCCTCTTTTGTTATTATAAAATAAGATGTACAGTTACTAGGTTATTCAAGATATTCTTTGCTCTACATTTAAATATCAAAGTTAAAATTAACTCTGAAAATTTTGTATTAACTATCTCTCTAGTATAACTATTATCTACAAGCTACATAGGGCTTTAGTAAGGGTCTCCTGAAAGGTTATGGCTGATCTGCCATCAGTGGCAGTAAACTAAACCTTTACAGGGTAAAAAAACCCTCCTAAAACAACAATCCTAATTTGTACTGTTTGCAGATTTCTGTGGTATATACGATTCCTACCACAGCAGACTGGAAAATATCTGGTGAGGTCACGGACCTGAGTTGGGAAGAGGTGCCTTTATTAGCACACCACTGCTGGTGTCTGCCACCTGACTGGTGCTGGGACAAAACACTGCACTGAAAATCAACATGACCTCAACAGAGTAAATACTGACAAAACCCCCATGTTATCAAGGTTTAGCAGCTGCTTGATAGTAAGAAGGGAAGATAAAATAAAACCTTATAGCTGTTCACTCAAAATAGCTAGCTTTATCCTCCCCTCTTATGAAAGGTTATCCCTGATGCTATCTTTGTAATGGTCTTCTCAACCTTTCAACTTAAAACTAACAGATTTCCCTCCCTCTATGCAAATAACTTGTGGTATTGCAAAGACTTCAGTAAGCATCAATTAAGCTTTAAATTGTTTCCTTCCATGTTCCAATCCCTTTAACTCCTTGGTGATGACAGTTAACCCAGAACACCTGTCCAAAAAAAGAAGGTGCAGTAAAAAGTAGATCATCAGTTACTATAATCATTCTCACTCTACTGGCACAAGGCAAATGGCAGAAGAATTGTCAACTAGACTGAATTTATGGAAACAAGCTTGAGCAAGTTACTTTACGTCATTGAAATCAGAATGTTATGTTGCTTTGATGGCAGGGCAGAGTTAAGTTTTATTTGGAAGCTAGTATGAAGCACAAGAGATCCACGGAAAGAAAAGATCAATATTATTCCTAAGGAAAGAGTATAGAAAAATGCCATTTCAGTGCTACACTTCCATGATTTATCATTCTGTTGAAGAGAAAAGATTTTAAACAGAGGCACAGTGAAGCAAGATTAAGTGAACTCCTGAAGTAAAAGAATGTGCCAGGACAATGGAACTTATGGTTTTTAAGAGAACTAGTAGAAAAAAGCTGTAAAGGGCATAAACAGGTAAGCTTTGCTGTTGTTAGGAGCTGTTGATGTGAGTACAACTCATATTGACCCTATGAACAACCGATCTGAACACTGTGCTGTCCTGTGCCATCCTCACAACCTCCAACACAAGTAATCCAGAAACTGTAAACTAAAGTGGAAATAATATCCTAAAGCTAAAATACTGGAAATGCAAATGCATACACATTTCACTCACACTCATTCATCAAATCAGAACGGACTCACTGCTGACCCTCCATAGTGTTTTCAGAGAAGATAAATTGTATACGAGGAGAATGCCCATCTCCATCCTGCAGAAAGGTTCCACCTTTGGGCTATCAATGCAACTCTGTATACACATGCCTCTGGAGCAGCCAGAGATAGAAGGAAGGATGGACTCATTTTTTTACTAAGTGTCGAAGACTGGTTCTAACTTTGGCTTAATGTCTCAAACCATCTATTCCCTATCATGCATTACTGATTATAAATAATATGAGAAACTGAAAAAATTAAAATTAGGTTCAGTATAATCAGGTTACTTAGAGATAATAAAATTATTAATTACTAGAAAGATATAAATATAATGATTTAGACAAAGACAATGGATTTAAAACATTGATGTAACCAAGAAGAGCTCATTCCCCAAATAAATTTTACAATTAATGAGTAAAATTCTATAGAGAAGACCTCTGGCTTGAAACTACTATTGTTGGACTTATCTAATGAATATGACAGCCTAACCAGGCTTTTAGGTAAGCAAAGGCCTTTTAAGACGTAAACTGGTAAAAAAGGACAAAAAAAGTCAGTCTTTGATATCTGGACTTGTTATCTATAACTGAGAAATTTTGCTTATGTTTCTAAGGTTAGTGTTATTTAGTTTTTTTTAGGGCTTAAATCTGAATATATTCAAGGAGCATGAGGCTATCCAGTAAAGATATTTTAAAGTATAAACATAACAGACATGAGAAGGATAATGTACAAAAATAGTCCTCAAATCCATTCTAATATTTTGTACGCCAATCAAAGGAGCCCTTTTCTCGCACAACCTACACTCTTTGTTTCTTTGTACCCTTTTCATATAAGAGGTTCAGGAAGAAATCTGAAGCTTAGACCTAAAAAGTACATTCAAGAATGGTTATCCTAAAGGAGATGAGTGTGTAAATCAAGCCTACAAGGTCAGTAAAAAGTTAGCCTAAAATGCCACTGAAACTCAAAGGATACAAAAGTATCATTCACCCTCAAACCCACCTCGTACTGCCCTAAATAAATGAGAGGTCAGATTTGGCAGGACTGAACATGAAGAGTAAATGACAAAAATCCCACAAAAAGGAAAACTACCAAAACTTTCTGGACTTCAAATAGCATTTGAAGCAAATCTAAAGTCATAGTTTCCCATTCCTTAAATTCTTAACTACTTGATTTGTTAACCCAGAGAATATTAGAAATAATTGTAATCGAGGAACTTCAGGAGTAGTCATATGGGCAGCTTCTAGAAATGATAGTTTGATGCTGAGGGAAGAGACAACGTATTTTTAAAACAGCAGATCCAAGCGATAAACTTGGATATTCATAATAATGGTCCTATCTATAAAAAAAAAGTGCTACCTTTTATGTAATGTAGCAGTACACTTTTTACAGATATTTTAAACTAAAATAACTGAGAAAAATAAGTTTAGTATTAGTGAGAGGAAATTTCTGTAGTAAATGTCTTTCTAGTAAGACACTGTGAATACAACTTAATCTAATAAGTATATTATACTAATAAACTGAATATAATCCCAGATATGTAATATAAGTGATATGTAGGATTTCTCTGAAGCATTGTTCTGCATTTCCATGACGATTCTAGATTGTAAAAGTTATAGTAGTTATGCTTGTAGCCCAATAAATATTAACCAAATTAGTAACAAACTCTTGCTTCATAATTTTGTAATTCAATAATTTACTTACTTTTGTCACTTCCTCTGCCCAAATCTAGCCAGCATTAAAAATTAGAGAAAAATATACAGCATGAAAAGTTGGAATTTAACATTTTCTACAATGTAGTACAGCAAAACGTAAATATTTTAATTCAAATGGCATACACTTTCCTAGAATTCTATCAACAGATAAAAATATTAACTAAATCAGTAGTTTAATATTCTGTGAAAGTATGTACTGATTAGTTTTTTTTAAACATCAACTGATATGATCCATTTTTTAATTTCATATTAACTCTAAAATAAAAATTAAAAAAAATATTTCCCAAATCAGGGCTATCTACCCTCAGCTCTAATTTATTCATCTGTAGAATAAAATGTTGGTACTACAGATCGAAAAGATTTTATTAGGTTTAAAATTCTAATAGGAAATTAAAAGAAAGCAATGATGGATACTGAAGGTTGATACAGCTTTAGGGAGCACAATAAACTCAAGACACAAGTTTAAAATTACTAAAGTAGTAAGTAATGGAATAAAGAATTTTTTAAAAAATTACAAAAAGCCTAATACATACAAAATCAGAGTGCTAATTGTTTTAGAGATCTTTTTCATGTAAGACAAAAAGACCTCTACAATTTACAGCTAAGTTAACTAATGGTGACCGAAATATTTTCACACTGCCATTTACCTAAGGATAAGACAATGGAAATAGAGTAGTGCATTCTCTTGCTATCTCAGGAAAGTGTTAATTTACCCAGGGCTTCTATATGTGCAGTACTTAAAAGGCAAACCCCAAAGTTATTTTACATATTCTATCAAATAATCTTTTGTATGACTAGCATATTTTTTTCCTACTTTTACTTCCATGCTACTATTGTTGTTGTGTACCCATATCTCACCCTCCAGCAGGTTTTCAGAGGCAATTAATTGCATGGGAGGAGACCGCCCTCCTTCTCCCTTGGAGCAGCTGAAGGATTCCCACTATGTACCTTCGGAATTGCAGTGCAGCTTTTTGCCACTAGGCCACCAGTACTAGAATTCAATAATCTGTTTGTTACTAGTGGCTAATTCCATGCCACTTCTACTGAGTATTGAGTATTATCCAGATTATAACAGGGAGCTTTGGTGGCCTTGTGGATAAGGAGTTGCACCACCAACCTGAAAGCACATGGTTTGAATCCAGCAGTTGCTCTACAAAATAAAGATGAGCAATATCCTCCTGTGTGGTTTACAGCTTCTAAAAATTTGCTGGAAGGTCGGCTCTGAGGTAGTTTCGACACAGTGGCACATAACAGTATCTTATGAATGTCCTCAAGACATTCTCTGTTTCTCTCTCTACACACACACACACACACACACACACACACACACACAGATAGACAAAGACAGAGACTCTCTCTCTCAGATGTTATAGAACAATCCTCACTCTAGATTCTTGCCCAATGTATCAACATTATGTAACGTTCTTAGGTGACTCAGGACTGGCTGGGTAATGGGCCTAGTATATACAATATCTAAACTGTCAAGGTTAGTCTTGGCCTTGGAATAGCAGAATAAATTAATTCTTTACCGAGTCAAGGTGAAAACAAGCTAAGCATTGAAGCTACCAATAAGCATATTCAACTTGCATATTTCATTATAATTAATGTTACTACATTTCTCTAAGTAAAGTAATTCTTGTTAATTTTCTTTGTAAAGAAAAAGTTCCAACCAACTAAACTAGTTTCTTCTTTAGGGTATAAAAAGACATATTTTATATTTATGTACAAATTCAGATTCTAAAATCTGTATTTGATAAGAACACAATTTCTTTAAGCTCCAGTTTTAGCCAGTATAGTTTGTTAGTTTTCATGAATATTAATTTATTTCACAGACTTTTAAATGTAGCTTATAGCAAGAGAAGGCACTTTATTCAAGACATATAAAACACAGTAGGCCAACAAACCTTCAGCCATTTTACATGCAGGATGTTGAGCATGTAAGAGAAATTTACCATAATGTTATCTCCTTCAAGCCGAGTTGCATTTAGTTGCTTATAGGTAAGAGACAAAGAACACATTATACCAATGAACACTGGGCAGTAAGTTACTTCTTTTTAGTTAAGAACATGCTAAACAAGTACCAAAAAGCTGATAAAAAGTTCCTCTACATTAAAAAAAACACAACAAAACAAAACAAATAGAACACCACACCACAAATTGAACTGTATATTGTTCTACCCAATTTCACATGGCAATGCCTATTGAATTTTTTTCAAATCATTAAAATTTTAAAAAACAAAAGAATGCATTGCTGCTTAATTTTAAAGCAGAATCATTTCAGGAAGGTGCATCACTTTAAAATCTGCCAGTTACCTAAAATTTGTATGTATGCAACTATAAAAGCTTTGCTGCCTAGCCATAACTTTTCTATTCAAAGACCATTTCTATTTTATGAATTTAGGATGCTTCAATCACGTTCTCTTTCAATCAGCCTCAGCCAGGTCTTGGCATACCCTGAAGAAATATGAAAGGCATGTCAATCCTTTATTTCCAATAAATTTAAAATTCTAATATGTATACATACATAAAGTAAAGCTATACAGTAGTGCTACAAATTCACTCTATTTATAGACTGTGTATTTACACTAATATGGAAATGGGCAGACAGATGTATCTGTTACACTAGGCTACTTAAGACTGTTTTCCATAATATTTGAATGCCAAAAAAGTGTCAGAAGTCTACACATTTATTTCTGTGTAGTTTTCAAATTTGATTTTCTTTCTTCCCATTATCATTATTCCTGTAATTTTTAATTTTCCTTATGAAAGACTAGGATTAGGTTAATCAATATCAGTAATTTAAATACAGATCTCATAAAATATTTTGTATTTGAGTACTTTTATCATATATATAAACTATTCTGCAAACTGTATTTATGTTCACTACTAAACAAAGTGTTCCAATCTTGCACAACTGGTATATTTTTGAGAAATGCTTTTGGTGTTGCTCTTCTAGTTTTTAGCATTCTCCAACATGCAAGCTAACAAAAGTTAAGTTAGTAGAGCAGCAATACTGAACATATGATGTTAAACCAAGAAAAGGTTAATGTAGTACATTTTACATTATTAATCTATGAATCTGTCCCCCATAGAGCATCTTGTACAAAATAGGTATATTCAGTAAGCACAGAATGTAAAAAAGAAGCCACAAGAAATCTGCAAATGATTTTTTAAATAAGTAATGAAATGCATAGGCTTTAAGTCTAACTTTAAAATCACTAGTTTTAAAATAGTCCATGGAAATTTAAAAAGAAGTGAAATAAAAGAGTCTGAGTTTAGAGTTAATGCTTTCTGCTGCCAAACAGAAATCAGGAAATAAGTCAAAAGTAAAAAGCAAACCCCACTTTAAACCCAAACTCCTAGCAGTTTCTGTTTTTCTGTATCCTTCAAGTACATGCTAACAAAATACAGAAAAAAGAAAAGAATCATCAATGCAGGCATAACATAAAGCCTGCTTAATGTAATAACAAGCTAAGGAAGGCTGTTTCTAGACTATCTGACTTAAAACAAAAACTGTTTTTTCTTTGTTTAATGCAGTTAAATTTTTGTAACACAGAAATTCTAAGAAAGCTGTATATAAATTTAAGGAATAAATTAATCTGAATATTTAAATCTCTAGGGAAAAATATCCTTAAATTAAGTACAGAAAAATGTAAAGACTTTTTCTTTAATATATCAAAAGGAAACCGTTCTCAATTTGTCCAATAGTATATTTAGTTCTTACATACTTTAACAGTAATGGTAAAATAACTTAGAAAAACCAATGTACTTTGTATATCGCTTTGTCAATGTGTTTCCTAGCACTTTTTCACATAAAAAAATAGACTACTATTATCCTATAACAGTCTGTGCTAAATAAAATTTTGTAGTGAAACTGGGTAGTAATATTCTTACTCCATAATCCATATTGGGCACATGTAGGCATTTGAAAAAAATTCTGTTCTCTTTCAAACCTTTATTTCCAAATAATTCTTATTTTTTACAAAAATATGATTATGAAACTAGTACCTTAAAAACCAATTTACACTTTACCTTAAACACTTGGATGTCTATAAATGCTAATGTAGAGTCTCTTGCTAACTATAAAGGGAACTCTAATGGCGTAGTCCATAGGGAGGTTGCACTGGTAACTAAAAGGCAGTGCCTCTTTAGCAGTTTGCATAAGGAAGCTGAATACTCTCTCATGCGATTTATTTACTGTCTTCCAAAAACCCACTAGGGAGGCAGCTATGAGTTGGCTCTGTCTCAACAGCAGTCAATTCAATCTAAAAGGAGCTCTGGTGGAACTGTAGTTAAAGCATTTTGGCTGCTAACCATCAAAGGCTAATGATTCAACTCACCAGCTGCTTTCTCCATAGGTGAAAGATGAAGCAGTTGGCTTCAGATTTACAGTTTTTGAAACTACATGGGAGTTCTACACTGTGCTACAAGGTTGTTATGAATTGGAATTAGTTCAAAGGCTGAAATCAATCTTTTTGTTCAAATGCCTATATGTATGGGCACAGAAGTTATATTTGGTGTGTTGCCATCTACATTGTTCATTTTAAAATTTCAATTCTGAAGAAAGTTTTTAAGGAATGTAGCCTGTTCATGATGATGATTTCATAATAAAATCAGAGGTGAATTCTGGGGTTGAGATGGTGTCATAAGAGACATCAGTGTCCAAAACCACAATCTCAGTTTTAAATTTCAATCTAAATCAATTTTCATCATTTCCCAATTCAGAAGAGCTATAATAAACTTCAATCAACACATTGACAATAAGCTCATTAGGGTAACAATCATGATGGTATTAATGGTAGTGGGTTGCAGAAAAGGAGAAAACAGTAGGATTAACATGCCTTTTATCAAATATGCCCCATTAATTAAAGTAAAAAAATTAGTTTGCTAGCTTTTTAGAGTAAATTAGTAATTATTTCTATTACACTATCTTACATTACACAGTCCAACTGAAATCTCATTAAACTTTTCAGGCTTTAAAATGGAAATATAGATAGAACAAGGCTATAATTAAAATACTTTAAAAAAATATATATAATACCATCAAATTACTCTAGATACTTATATATTACGTTACTTTATAATACTGAGAGATACACATTCAATTATAAAAAGACTATCATGAGGATGATTTTTCTGAAAAATATACCAGAATCTATTACCTTTTGACAATTCCTTCAATTAGTTTGAGTCATATATGGGGAAAAGAGTCACACTAAAGTTTTTAAGTCATACACAGCATGCTAAAACTTGATTTATTCCCATCTAGATCAGTACCTTTTCTGTTATTTTCAAATGGAATAAATTTTATCTTCAACAAAGTATGATACAATTTTAGGAGCTATGATTTTTGTTTCTAGTAACAGCTCATCACTGAAAAAAACACATTGTCTCTCGATACGGCTACTTCTTACTCATTTGGATATATTAAGATCTGATGTTGTCTAAAAGCACAAAAACAAGACTCCAAAGCTATACTCTGGTATCAAGAACAGACTTATATATTTCACCTTAGTAAAATAATTTAAAAAGTCTTAAAGTTAACATAAAATGTTTTCTATTAAAAAAAAACCCAAACAACCCATAAAAAACCCTACTTACTGAAGATTTAGTGTCTGCAGTTTTTGCTTTTTTCAGTCTGGTTTTTGCAGCATCTAAATCCAATCTTTTATTTTGTAATAGTTTCCTTTCTTTCTACAAATATAGAAAGAAAGAAAAAATTAAAGGTGTGGTAATCCAGTGAGAACTTACCTACTTAAAATATTATTTCCATTAAAAATATACACTAACTGAAAAACTAAAATCTACGCTTACAAAGCCGTCAGCCACAAAACCAAGAGGCTGGCTCATGAGTGGATCCGCAGAGGAGACAAGCCCTGCAGGTGCTCTGCTTGTGAAAAGTTTCTGCCAGCCATCCACATTCCATAGCCATGTGAGAATTCACCAGGGTTCTGAACTCAGAAGTATCCGCAACAATCCAGAAGATCGCTAACCTGACTCTGCCATTTTAAGTGTCTCTGTGTGAGTGTGAGTAGGATTCGTAAAATAGTATAGAACAGACTGTAGAGATGCCAAGGTTGAGATTGTCATATAGGACTTGGCTTTCACAGGCTTTACTGTCTATTTTTCTAGTAATATGTATTTATGAAAACTATTAACTTTGAGAAATGACAACAGTTATAGAAAGGCTTCAGGAATTTTTTTCATAGGGTCACCATGAGTTATGCTCGACTCAATGGCAATCAACAACAACAATTACAAACTAGCTATCAAGTGAATAGTCAGGCTTCTGACATGACTTCAGATCTAAAATGATAGAGAAATAATAAATATATTTAGATGTGGGAGAAAAAAAAGGCTAGGTGATGGTAGAAACAAAGGAATATTGGTTTCAATATTTTGCCATTTTGTCCTTCCTCTAGGGCACATTCAGCAATGCCTTGTGGTTGTCACAGCTGGAAGGAGCAATAGTACTTCATTCAATTTAGAATGGCAGAGGCTCCTACCAGACACTCTACAATTCAGGATTCCTTTCCCAACAAATTATCTTGTTCAAAATATCAGTAGTGTAAACGTTGAGAAACTGTGGTATAATCTGCTACAGATGTTCTGGAAGTGCATATGGTGAAAAAAGTATGTGGTTAAGTCAGGGTTTTCTGATACCCTGTATAATTTACCATCAGGATTAGGCAGGCTGTTTTTAAATGTATCACAGCAACTATAAAACACTGAAAAACTACTCCAAAAGAGAATTTTAAACTAACAGGATAACGAATAAACATTAACATGGTAGAATTCCTCCTCAGAAATTAAGAGTTTCTTTATAGTAGGTAAATTTATCAGAAATTTTGTTAAAATGGTCGTTTACTGTGGTTTTGGTAAGTTTACACAGCAAATTAGGTTCCTATTTGGTTAATTTATACAAACTGTTAGAGGCAAGGACAGCCTGACTTTGTTTCACATATTTTGGGCTTATTTTTAGCAATGACCAATCCTTGGAAAAGGACATCAGGCTTGGAAAAGTGGAGTGTCAGTGAAGCAGGAAGACCCTCAGCAAGGTGGACTGACACAGTTACTTGAACAGTGGGCGTAAGTACAGCCGACTGTATGGATGGTGAGGATGGTACAGGACTAGGTAAGGATTTGACTTATGTACATTAGGGGAACTATGGGTGGGCATTCACCTGACTGACATGTAACAACAAATTGTTCAGTCACATTACATTTTTCACACTGTCAATATTCTCTTTCCAGAGAGCTAAGCTTTTCTATTCCATTATCTTCTCATCTTTGCTTTAGAGTAATTATTGATCTATATAGGTCTTAAGAATTTTTTTCTTACTGTACTACCTCTTAGTCGGAGTCTATATATCAAATTTGATGCCACTGGAAATTCAATTTCTTTGAAATAATTTTATTTACTGGTTCTTCCTCTTTCTAAAGTCAAGTACATGTTTCCCCCACAGATAAATCCATTGTAACATACTGACCACCCATAATTTTTTTTATGGCAAGAAACCTGCAAATTAACAGTTTGAAATAATAGCTACAATAAAGAACAGCTCTGTAGAAATGTTAAAGATGCGTCTGGGTGAGTATGACTGCTAACATTTTGGTTATTATTTTAGTGCTTAACCATTTGCATTACCCTGCAACTCTAGTAAAATTCAAAAGATAGAAAAAGATTGCAAGCCATAAGCTATGAAGACCTTTACTATGGTGATGTTGTATATTAATAATTCCAACACTGTCTCTACAGTTTCAGTGATGATAATGAGGGAGAATGGATTATATACAAAGGTATTCAATCACAATGCAGGGTCACAGAAGAAGGAAATAACCAGTGACCCTTTATTTTGATTTACCTTTGAGTTCTGATGTATGCCACAACCTAGATTATTTAACTATTCTAAATGGTACCGCTCACAAGTTTACAGATTAGTCAAGAAAAAGGTAACCTATTCATTAACTCATATTTACATAAAACCCTTTTATTTTAAAAAAGGCAAGATTTTCGAACTCACAGCAATTGTTTTGTAATCTCCTTCTATGAAATTTCTTAAAGGAGTGAGAAAATTTAAAGCTGATGTTTGAATCAGTTCTCTGTCTGCTGTTCCAATTCGTTTCTGTGTTTCTCCACATTTAATTAGGGCATTACCTGCAGAGGAAAAAAAAAATTACCATGACTTGGTAAAGTCTGAAAATAAAACAAACAAATGATTTATGTATCCATTTTAAAATTAGTTGTCACTTGTTTACTGAAGGGGGAAAATTATCTGTAATTGAGGAAGTTTTTAAGTGCCAGTTTAAGACTATAAACACCAAACCAAAAAACCCCATTGTTACTGAGTTGATTCTTACTCAGAGTGGCCTTGTACAAGAGAATGGCACTGCTGCATAGGTTTCTATGGCAATAGTCTTTATGGAAGCAGACTGACATATCCTGATGACTGGAATGTGGGTTCAAGCTACCAAACTTTCTGTTAGCGGCCCAGTGCTTAACCACGATTATCACTAGGGCTCCCAAGATTACATATAATTAAAAGTGTTGCATTTGACTCTGTGGATTATAACAAATTATGAATAACACTGAGAATCACACACTTTTAATTGCACTCATATTAAAAATATGCATAGACCAAGAAGCAACTGTCCAAACAGAACAAGGCAACACTGTCATTTAAAATCAGGAAAGTATATATAAGGGCTATATTGCCCCTCCATATCTATTTAATTTGGACGCTAAACAAATAATTTGAGAAAGTGGACTCTATGACGAAGAATGTAGCATCAGGATTGGAGGAAAACTCATCAAAGAATTGCATTCTGCAGATGACAAACCTTACTTGCAGAAGAAGATCAAAGGCTTCAATATGAATAATATCTCAACATCAAGAATAAAAACATTTTCACCACTGGCCCAAAAGCCAACATTATGACAGAGAAAAGACTGAAGTTACTTGGATCCACTATCAAGGACAATGGATACAGCAGTGAGAAATGAAAAATGTACTGCATTGAGAAAATTTGCAGTTTAAAGACTAAGGTGCACCTGATCCAAGCCATGTTTCTCAATTACATCTTAGTAATCTAAAAGTTGAACAACGCCTAAGAAAAACCATAGAAAAACATATGCCTTTGTGTTGTGGTGCTGAAAGATAGTACTTTCGGGGACTGATGAAAGAACAAAGCAAGCTGTAGGAAGTGCAACCAGAGTTCCTTAGAGGTAAGAATGATGAAACTTGGTCTCACATATAGTGGACATATTATCAGGAAGATTCAGTCCCTGGGTAAAGACATCATGCTGGGAAAGGTAGGGTGCCAATGAAAAGAGGAAGATCCTTAATGAGATGGACTGATGCACTGACTGTAACAGTAGGCTAGAGCATGATGGGGATCATGAAAACGGCACAGGATAGGGCAAAGTTTAGATCTGTTGTTCATAGGGTCACTATGAGATGTAATCAAGTTGTAAACAAAATAATAAAAGATGAATTTTCTACAAGGTCACAGTTAATCTTAGTAGTAAAAATGGTGTACGAGAAGAAGTATTATAATACTTAAAAGTCAGTTCAGATTATGTAGATACACTTATAAAAGTACAAGCCAAAATTTCCGTTTTCACATGTAAGCACTGATCTCAAGTATCTATAAATAAGCTACATTTCTATCTTGCTATTATGTCCTTCTGAGTCCAGTACAACTCAGAGACCCTATGAAAATTTGCTCCAAATGCTGCCCTGTTATCCTGTACCATCTTCATCCCCTCTCTGATATGCCTGAGCCCATTGTGAGTCAGAGTGCCAATTCACCTCACTGAGGGTTTTTCTCTCTTTCACTGACCCACTGCCTTTCTAAGTAAGCATGATGTCTCTTCTTAAGGATTGGTCTCCTTCCTTACAACAGGTTTAAAGAATATGAGATGAGGCTTCACCATTTTTGCCTATAAGGAGCACCCTAGATGCACTTTCTCCAAGTGCTTATTTTCTTGTTGTTTTAGCAGTCTATGGGATATTTAGTAATTTTCTCCACACCACAACTCAAATACAATTACAGCATCAATTCTTCTTCCATTATCCTTATTCACTATTCAAATTTCAGACACAAGGAAGTAACTGGCTTGAGTCGGGTGCACCTTAGCTATCACTGCTCTCTAGCACTTTGGAGGTCACAGACAACCATTTTTTTTGGAATGCAACACAGCACTGGAGTCCAAAACGAACTGATCTTAAGCAATTTTGATTTGTATCTATAGTATATGCAAAAGGAACAGCTGAAACATGGGGAAGTTCGCCAACTCTGACTTCTAACTACTTCACTAACTTCAACTGCCATGATACCAAAACTATCTAGAAGAATTAACTGGTGCCCGGCTACTACTGCTAATCACCCTAAAAGGGATCACAATAGAAGATCCTGGATAGAACAGGAGATAAATGAAGAGGAAAAACTCAAATCACAATGATGGCCAGGCTTACTGGTCTGATGGAACCCCCGAAATAATATTATGGTCCTTAGCGACCCTATGAAACTGGAACTGAACTCGTCCAGCAGCCAAAGACAGAACTAGAAAGTGAACACTAGAACTAACACGACCATAAAGGAAGCATTTGTTCAAGGATAAAACTTAACAGAAGGCTAGACAAGAGAGGATGAAAAAGAAGAATGGAGAATTAATCACAGAGAGATAGTGGGAAATATGAGGATACAATGTGGGGACTGCAATCACTGCAAAAAATAAAGAAAAATATCAGAAGAAATGAAATACCATTTCAACACCTAGTGATAACCACGTTTAACATTTTTTTCCCCTTTGGTATTTAAGAGAACGAATAAAAAAGAAGGCATTTTCTCCCTAACCTTTTCTTTCAATATTTACTCTAGAAAACGTAAAAACTAAATTGTATACCAGGGAGGGAGTGTTTCTTTTGCTTTTAGAGGAGAGGGGTGAACTCGGGGTGGGGGTGGGGGGGGTGAGAGAATTGCGGCAATGAATGAATGGAAATCCAAAATCTCTATACATGTGCATTAAAATGATTTTAAAAAAAG